ATGGTAAAATTGTTTATAGCTGTTTTCACTGCTTGATTGCTGTAAGGACTGCGATGGGCTATTTGTAGTTCCCACCAGTGAATCTGACTAATCCTGCTAATGAATGCTTAGATGCTTGCTTTGATACCAAGTGTGGTGGGAAGGGCTATGGCATTAGGAACACCACCAAGAATATATGTATGGTCTTAGCAATCCCTTTGAAGATCAGGTATTCACAGCTTTTAACATCTTACAGTAGAAGTGATAAATGAAGGTAATGCTGCTCCTAGTATACTTATGAGCTTTTTCTAGCTCAGGTATGCTTTAAGGGGAAAGTGAGTCTGAAAACTAGCTATAATCCCCTTTAGATCAGTTTAAGGAGATCTACAGAATGCAGTATTTATCCCATCAAGTGGGCTCTGAAGACAACTTACTCCTGGTTTCAGTCACTTGCTGATGGAAAAAGTATTGGCGTTCTGCATCTAGAAAACAACACAGAAACCAAAGGCCTCTCTGATAGTTCTTACTAGTACAGTTGCAACATGCAAATGTACTGTGCTAAGGATAGAATTAAGGCTGCAGGAGAGCTTTAGCTCTAGGTATACCGTGACATAAAGCTAGACAAGTAGCGGCATGAGCTAGCAACAATGCCAGCTTTCAGTGCCAGAACACTGCAGGTGTTTGAAACAAAACTGTCTAAAGCTAACAAAGTAACAGTGCTACCATCCCGGTTACTATAATGCACCATAAACTACTTGTTTGTGCAATTGTAAATCTGTATATACTCAATACCTGACTTCATATAGGCTGCTGGCTCTAGGCTCCTTGGTTGGGAAGAAGAGGATATGCCTTCAAGAAGGAATGACATGTACACACTACCTCACTGAGAAGTAGAGTTGAAGTGTTTTGCACAAGTGATCTTAAATTTTTATCTAGCTGTCCTATGCCTGGAAGGTGAATATCCATGGAATGACCTTTCCAAAGATACATAGGCTTGTTTTGTCCTGCAACTCTCAGCATGAACTCTGCTATGGTGCAAAGATGTAAGGACCTTTCCATATAGAAGTTAGAAAGGGCTTCTTGATGTAGCCTGATTATCTTCTCACTTGCTTCTGTGCCTAGAGGAAGGGAATTTACTGGGCAGTACATCCAGAGGAAGTTGGGCTTTTCTTCTGTTCTAGAGGTCAAACTAAAGCAGATCCTTTGAATTCTTAAATCAAAAAGCATTCAGAATTTTTAATGTAAAACTGCATACATTTGGCCAAGACATATCTGTAAGAGGAATCTGTAAATCGCTGTATTGCTCTCAAACTTGGACTGGAAACTTTAGTAAGAGTAAATAAAGTCTTGTGCATCCTGGAGGTCCTGGTTCTCCATCTCAAATGCTTTCTATCTTGCCATATCAACAGGAGACCTTAACCCAGCTATAAGTAACTTCCTGGTATAAAGAGAGTGAGCATTCATATATATCATCCTGCCTCAAGGACAGGTCCTGCAACTTCTGTTGTTTATTTCCACCACTGTCAATGTATCAGTTGTCTTAAAGAGCTCTTCTAGTTAGTTGGTGATATAAATGCAAATGACTCATTAGACCGGAAGGATGAGTCTGGTAATATCCTTCAATTGTATATAAAGTTAGGAGCCAGACTTCTACAAGGAAAGATAATCTCCCAGTTGTTAAATCTGTCCTTTTGTGAAACTATTCTAGAAGGAGCTGGCATGACTGAATTGAGTTGCTAGAGCAGAGGATATAGAAACAAAGCTACCGTACCCAGAGCAATAAGCATATTCTTCCTGGCCAGCTCTGTACCTTGAAACTCTCTACTTGAGCTCCTGACTGGCATCTGCTATGGAACTTCCTACACTCTAGAAGCATCAGCTGTGTGGGAGTTACTGATGACTGAAGTCACCCCCTCATGGAGTGCATGTTGTCGTGCAAGGTTCTTCCCTGTGCCTGCTGAGAAATAAGACTGATGGGGACTTGGGTCTGGTCTTCATGTAGTTTAGCATCAGGATTTCAGAAAGGTGGAAGTAAGGATTAAGGTGCCGCACAACTTCAAGCAAGCAGCAGCAGACTTACTAAGCAGTAATTCTGGTGTTAAACACAAGTGTCCAAGAAGAGTAAATGAAAATTAAGTACTACACAGCTCTTCCCATGTGGACAGCAGTTAAGTGCCTACCTCTCATAACTCCTCTGAACTGCTCCTATGCATGCTTAGTTCAGAAAAAGCACTTTCCCAAACAGTAGGCTTCCTGGTGCAGCTGTACTCCTTAGGATCCCGAAAGAAATGGAACAGCAAGAGCCGTGTATAACCTGAGAAGAGAAAGCCTTGTCTCAAGACAGAGATCTGTACACTTAAAGCCCCGTTTCTCCCTCAAATAGTAACTTGCAGACCTGCCTGTATTTTCCAGGTCAAACTGAGACCACTGTAGTCTGTGGCTGTTAGAAAGGGGGAGGGAGAAGTATATTCTCCTACAGTCCAGACAGATGTAGGTCCTTGGTTACCCACACCTAGCATCTAGTTCTTGCTTTCAAACTTGTTTCTCAAGACTGCTTGCAAAGGCCTGTGTTGAGCTAGCTATTATGCTGAGGTCTAAACCCAGGTTCCCAGAAGATCTTGCTGATACAGAAGACAGTGGTATGCAAAGTTTCATATTTTTGTATAGCTGATGCTGTCTACTCACTTGAAGTCTGGCAGTGGGGTAGCTTCTGCAATGCAGGTTTCCAGTATTAAAAGCTATTTTCTAGGTGACTGGTAACTAGCTATTTTCTAGGTAACTGATTAGCTTTAATGTAAGGTTAAGTGCTGCAACAAACTGCCATTGAGAAAGAGTGCTAGTAGGTTGTCACTGCTGCTGGCAATTCGGCAAGCTGCAGAAGAGGGCTTAATGCGCATGTGCAGTGCCTGCAGTGGAAGCAAGGTAAACCATCTTTTATGCTGATGCTGTTTATGCTAGATCAAACAATGCTGCAGTTCAGACATGTCCTGAGGAAAATGAATTACATTAAAGTCACTATTAATCACCCTCAGCTGATCACTCTGTGTTGAATAAGCATTGCAGATCCAAGAAGATGATGAGAAATCACATACTTCTCTGGCTGCCGTGGGTACACAGCTCTGTTGAGGGTGTGTGAGGTGGTTAGTTTTATTTATCTTACTTGAGCAAAATTGGGTCTATAGGACTTGGTTGCCTGTATCAGGTACGCTACAAGTTACTGGTTGCTGTAGTTGACATGACTGGGAATGGAGTCAGTGTGTGCAAGTTAGTTATGTGACACTGGACCCTAATGACACTCATGCTCAACTTCTCTTTAGTGGATGTGTTCTTGTTGAAAGGCTTGTGTGCATCAGTCTGCCACTCCATAAGACGTAAGGGAATAAACTCAGTCTCTAGCTTGAGTTCTGTTGGTAAAGATACTGCACTGTAATTGCCTTTGACTCTTTCACGTTAAAATGCTGGTGAGATTTTTAGTGCAATGGGTAACACTTGCAATAACTTAACAGTTCTGGCAAAAAGTTGGTTAAGATTGACTTCTTTTGATGGCTTTGTATTAAGATGCTGCTGTTGCAGCTGAGAGACTACAACAATGATGGTGAGGAAGAGTCTTTCCTGGAAAGGTATGTGGCCCTCAACAGACTGGCTTTTTCAGAATACAGAGAACACTCCTGTTACTCCACTGCCAGTCAGTGGCTATGTGTCAAGTGAAATGGAGACACTGTTCTGCACTTGCAGGTAACCTTAGAACCATTAGGGACTACATCTGCCATACTTGAAATTGTACTATAGAGCCCTAACGTGATTCCTGCAGTACAGAGGTAGGATATGTTCCTGGCTCTGGACTGATGTCTTCCATGAGGTTTCTATCTTGTTAAAGAGCTAGATGAGTAGAAAAGGTAATGAATGACTTTTTCTTATGTCCTGCTTGAAGTGGAGGAATATAAAGCTACTGACTTCTTAAACAGTAACTTTGAGATTTAAGGCAAGGTTCATGTGACTCCTTAAATAGTGTTGTGAATTTTGGAAGGGGCAGAAGACACTCCCTATGCATTTTTTTTTCCTGCCAAAACTGCAGCAGACTAAGGAAGCTGTGGAGTTCCTCCTTTCTCGTTTTCCTGCCTGCTGCCTCTGTACCAATTTCTGCTGCAGTCCTGACACGGTCCCTTGCTCTTGTGGTCTGAAAGCCACTGAGAGGAACAGAAGCTTAAAATAATCATCTTCCCCTTGTGTTTACGTAGTCCTCAATAAATCTAGCTCTACCTGCTTCTTATAAAAAAAAAATGCATACAAAGCAACATCTGTTTTTATCAGCTCAATGAACCACCAGTTAATTACCATGGAGTCAACCCTTCTAAACAGACCAGTGTTACAGCCAGACTTACAGTAGCACTGCAGTTACCTTTGCAATTGGCTTACCAAACCTGGAACTGTTAATATATGGGTGTTTGGAAATTAAATTTTAAAAAGGGCCAGACTTCAGACTCTCAAATGTACTGTTTCTATAGGATTCCTTTAGGAAAACTAAAGGTAGCTGACCTGCTACCTTGTCATGGATTTGACAGCTCACCCATGACTGAGCATTTCATTCAACAGTCTTTAATCTCACTATACTAAACTGTGTAACTTCCATGCAGTCTATTATGTGTTTGTGTCTTGTCTCATCTTCTGTCTCCTAGTAAAAATTGTTACCTCTTAGCTGGCTTGACAAGGACATCAAGGGCTAAAATAAGTTTAGTTTTCCCTTGTTTTAGTTTGGTGTAGAAACCTTCATCTTCAAAGGGAGTTTGAAAAAAATAGCTTAAAGTGAGTAAGAACTATAGGAGAGTAAGAAGCTCAAAGCACCAACAGCAAGAGGGTCATGTGCCATTGTGAAGGATACCATCCATGAATATAATGGTAAAACTGCAGAGCTTATTGAAGTGTCTATTTTTTCCACTGCAGGAGTTTGAAGATGCAGCAAGCCTGGTAGTGAGGACAGAAGGAATCTCCTTAAAGAAGTCGGACAGTCTGAAATATTGACAATGTCTATTATGGATCATAGCCCCACCACTGGAGTGGTGACCGTTATTGTTATTTTGATTGCTATTGCAGCTCTTGGTGCCTTGATACTGGGCTGCTGGTGTTACCTGCGTCTGCAGAGGATCAGCCAGTCTGAAGATGAGGAAAGCATTGTGGGAGAAGGAGAAACCAAAGAGCCCTTTCTTCTGGTGCAGTACTCTGCTAAAGGACCTTGTGTAGAGAGGAAAGCTAAGCTAACTCCAAATGGCACGGAAGTACATAGCTAACTTGGAGTAACCCATGTATATGGACTATGCTTATGATGTGTGTAACTGGCGGAAGAATCTTTCCTGTGAAGAACCTGGTCACATGCACGCTACTCATCACAAAATACCCTGATGAGGATTACATAAGCTTTCTTAGCAACTGCATGCACTGAGAAGTTGCACTTTGCATCAACTGTGTATCCCAATTCCTCTGTGACAGGCGCTGACCCACCTGGCATAATGTCCATTGCTGGCAATGGACATAGGGAAATAGTGGTGTGAAGAGACTACTACTGTTTTTTGTTACTTGAATGTTTAGCTGAGCCTATTTTGATGGAGCTACTACTGTAATGTGAACTACTTTACAACTGTGAACTGTAAATAACCTGCCAGAAGCTTTCTGCTTTGTGTTCCACAGCATATGGGAATGTATGTTGCAACTGTACGTAACACATGAGGACTGCTGAA